TTTGGGCCTGGCCTGGCATTTTTTGGTGAGAAGTTTAAAAATTACTAATTCAACATCTTTGCTTGTTATAAGGTCTATTTACATTTTTTATTTCTTCTTAGTTGGGTCAGTCGTTTGTATTTTTTAGGAATTTGTCAGTTTCATCAATGTTATCTAATTTGTTGACATACAGTTGTTTGTACTGTTCCTTACAATCATTTTAATTTCTGTGATAATATTTGTAATTTGATCTTCTCTTTTTTCTTGATAAGTCTAGCTAAAGTTTTGTCAAATTTGCTTATTTTTTCAAAGATCAACTTCTGTTTTATTTTTTAGTCTCTATTTCACTTATCTGCTCTAAATCTTATTAATTACATTCTTCTACTTGATTTAGGTTTAGGTTGTTCCTCTTTTTCTAGCTTCTTAGATGGAAGGTTAGGTTACTGATTTGAGCTATTCCTTCTTTTTTAATACAGGCACTTAAACCTATACATTTCCCCCATCTCTAACTAATCTAGTTACATCTCATAAGTTTTGAGATGTTTCACTCACCTCAAACTATTTTCCAGTTTACCTCACAAATTTTTCTTGACCCATTTTAAAATTTAGGAATGTGTTGTTTACGTACAAATCTGTGAATTTTCCAAATTTTCTTTTATTGTTGATTTCTAACTTAATCCCACTTAATTCCAAAGAACATACTTTTAATGATTTTCTTTTTAAATTATTGAGACTTGTTTCATGGCCTATCACATGATCTGTCCTTGAAAATGGTCCACGTATACTTGAGAAGAATATATATTCTGCTGTTGTAGGATGGAGAATCCTATTAATGTGTTTTAGGTCTAGCTGGTTTATATTGTTGTTCAAGTCTTCTGTGTCATTATTGATTTTCTGGAATTATTAAAAATGGAGTACTGAAGCCTGCAACTATTATTGTTGGATAGGAATTTGCCAGGGAGAGAAAAGAACATGGCATGAAATGGCATGACCAGAAAAGTGGTGGGGAAAACAAGGGTGGCTTGAAGGGGATAGAAGGTAGGTTGAGAGAGGGGGAGGGTAAAATAGACTGAATGTTTGTGTCTCCCCCTCACAAATTCAGAAACCTAATCCTCATTTCAGTGATATGTGGAGGTGGGGCATTTGGGAGGTGATTAGGTCATAAGGGTAGAACATTCATGAATGGGATAAGTAACCTTAGAAAAGAGACTCCAGAGAGCTCCCTCCCCAATTCTACCTTATAACACTAAAATGGGTGCCTGTGGACCAATAAGTAAGCCCTCATCAGACACCTAATATGCCAGCAGCTCAATCTTGAACTTCCTAGCTTTGAGAACTGCGAGAAATAAATGTTTTTTGTTTAAGCCACCCAGTCTGAACAGACTCAGACAGAGGGGTTGCAGATGACACTAGAGAAAAGATAGGTTGGTGCTGGTTCATGGAGAGTCCTGAATTTCAAACTAAGGAATTTAAATTTTATCCTATACACACCAGAAGAACTTTAGAATTCTGAACTGAAGACTGGCATGTTACAAAAAGCATTCTGATGGCAACCTTTTGAGAGGACTAAAAGAGAGTTAGATCTAATTCTAACAGAGTTGGTGAAAGTCTGAACTACAGCAGCTCCAGCACTGGTAAAAGGGATGATGTAACATCTCAGAGCATTAGTACATCTGGCTCACACTCCAAGATTTCACTCTTTTCCAGACTGGTTTCTTCCCACCTTCTCCTTTCCCTTTTGCCTCCTAACTTGAGAGAAGGGTTGGTGTAGTCTTGATCTGAACAGTGTCCGTGCCAGGTCCTTAAGCTTGGGGTCGATGGGTCTCAGTCTATCTGCAGCCAAGGACTTCTCTGGTGGCCCAGTGGTTAAGACTCCATGCTCCCACTGCAAGGGGACAGGGGTTCTATCTCTGGTCAGGGAACTAAGATACCACATGCTGCAGGGTGTGTCCAAAATAAATAAATAAATACAATGCAGCTGAAAGGGGAAAGAAAACTTCAGCGGTTTTCCAACCAACAACATGTGATAATTTTCCAGGTTTTTTTTTTACCACCTAGAGAACGCTCCTTCACCAGGCATTAGAGGTTCAGTACAACAAAACCCCAGCCTACTCTTGAGTCTCATTTTCCACTCTTCTATTCTCTAGTCCCACTGAGCTGGTTATCCTTCCTAACATCTACTCTGTTTTGTTTTTTTCCCTAACTCTAAGCCATTATTTAAGCTGCTGTATATTTTAAGCACAGTCAGATCTTACCCTCCATAAAACCCATCCCTTCCCTCCACACATTCCTCTGGTGCTCTATTTTGGAAAGTGTTGAAAAAGCATAAATTCTAGAACATGAAGGCATGGGTTTGAATTCTGACTCTGCCACTTACTTAGTTTATGTTTACTTACTTTACTTTTTATACTCTTCTAACTAAGCCTGTTTCCTAATTTAAAATGAGGAGACTGCCTTTCTTAAGAGATCTTATGGAGTATTAAAGGATAAATGAAAGTTAAAGAACTTAAAAACTATAAAGTACTATATAAATCACACCATAGCATCCTTATATGTTTCTTCCAGATATTAGGATATCACAACCTTTTTGTTTCTTTTTTGCACTGGGTCTTTGCTGTGGTGCTTGGGCTTTCCCTAGTCGAGGCGCATGGGCTCTAGAGCATGTGGGCCCACTAGTTGCAGTTCACGGGCCTACTTGCCCCATGGCAGGTGGGATATTAGTTCCCCAACCAGGGTTTGAACCCAAGTCCCCTGCATTGCAAGGCAGATTCTTAACCACTGGACCACCATGGAAGTCCCTTGTCTTGTATTATTTTTATTTGTATATGTTTTATCTTGCCAAGTAAACAATGAGCTCCTCAAGAAGGATCATGTCTTAATCATTCAGTATCTTCCAAAGTACATAGCATAAAAAAAAAAAAAGTACATAGCATAAACCCTGGTAGGTTGAAGTTGCTGATAAACATTTACTGAATGAGTGAATGCATTGATAAATAAATGAGTAAATACAGTAAGAGATAAAGGAACATTTAGGGTTTTGTTTTGGTTTTCCAACATCTGAAAGCCTGTTTGTTTTGGTTTTCCAACATCTGAAAGCCTGTCCTCTGTGAAGATCTTAAGGTCCCACGTCCCACAAGAGAAACCAAAGATACTTAAAGTTTCCCTCCCATCACCCCCTTGTAACTATGGCAAAGGCGACATGATCCAGGCATGGCCATTTGAATGCTTCCACCAGGACTTTGAATCTTGAACAAGTAGTGTAAGACACAGGGTAGAATTTCTCTAAGATGGCATCATGCAGTGGTGATGAAAGCAGTGACTCCAGCTGCGGTATCCTTAACTAGATCATTACAAAAATGAGGAAGAGTCTATCATCATGGTCTAGTCAGAAGACTGAGAAATTTTCTCAGTTTGGAAACAGACACAGAGAGAGTCAGTTACAGATTGGAACTTTGGGAAGCAGATGCCAAGACAGGATTTGAGGTGCAAGACATTAACTAGGGTCAGGAAATAGGATTGAAAAGAGAAGAAATCAAACTATAATGTAGGTCTGACAAAGACCCAGCCAACCTGGTGGGGAGCTCTGGAGTGAATACAGCTCATCAGAAATACAGTGGTGTTTCACTGTATTTCAGTGACTTCCCTGGTGGTCCACTGGTTAAGAACCTGCCTGCCAAGCAGGAAACGGGTTTGATCTCTGGTCGGAGAAGATTCTGCATGCCCTGGAGCAAGTAAGCCCGTGTGTCACAACCACTGAGCCGGCACTCTGGAGCCGATGAATCGCAACTACTGAGCCTGAGTGCTGCAACGACTGAAGCCCATGTGCCTAGAGCCTGTGCTCCACAAGAGAAGCCATCTCAATGAGAAACCTATATACTGCAATGAAGGGTAGCCCCCACCTGCCACAACTAGAGAGAACCAGAGCAGAGCAACAAAGACCCAGCACAGTCATAAACAAATAAATAAAATTTAAAAAGAAATACAGCGGGTCAGAATGGCTGAACCTTTATACTTTATACCCTGGCTTTGCTCAGTCACTGGGTGAGAACAGTTCCAGGATGAGCATGACCTTGTGCAGGACCGTGCTCTGCAGTGAGACAGACGCTAAAGGAACGGAAGCCTTTAGAGGGTATCTGCTGATTATACTCTCTATAGCTAACAGTACATCTTTCCTTGAAGGCAGAACTGGGTGGCACACCTGTTGTGCCTACTAGAGAAAAAAACGAATTATGACATCGTGAACAAAGCAATAGAGTGGAAAGGAGGGAGAGGATTTACAGATACTGTATTTTGTAGGTGGGGATGAAGAGGGGGTAAACAAAGGTTAACACTGAGGTCTCTACATTGATATGATTTGATGGTAATGCTGTTTAACCTGAAGTAAACAACAGATGAGAGAGAACAGGTTTGGAGAGAAAGATAAGGAATTTCATTTTGAACATGTTGACTCTGAAATGTCTGCAAAATATTAAGGTAGAGATGATTTCAAAAATCAAGGCAAATGGGGGCAGATGAGGAGCTCAGCAGCAAGTGCCAAATTTATAAAGTATACATATATTGTCTTATATGGTGGTGTGGTGGTGGTTTAGTTACTAAGTTGTGTCTGACTCTTGTGACCCCCATTGACTGTAATCCGCCAGGTTCCTGACCCAGGGATGGAACCCACTTCTGCACTGCAGGCAGTTTCTTTACTGTTGCACCACCAGAAAGCCCATTTATCTTATATATATATATATATATATATATATATACACACACACACACACACACAAATATATACACACACATATAATTTAATACTCATAATGCCTTTATGAGGTAGGTATTGTTTTTATTATACCCTTTTTGTATATTTTATTATACCTTTTGTTTATGAAGTGAGGAAGTTAAGTGCCTGGCTCAAGGAGGCAAAACTTGAGTCTGCCTTATGACAAAGCACATGCTGTCAAAGACACCATGATGTCTCCCCACGAAAACCACCATATGTAGACAGTATTTGAAGTCATGGAAGTTTTTTTTCTTTTTTTTTTGAAGTCATGGAAGTTAATAGGTCACCGGAAATGGTACAGTTTGAGGGACAAAAGGAGCCAAAAAAGGAATTTGAAGGAAGTCAACATTTCAAAGGTGCATTGAGGAAGCTGACACATGCAAAAGGACTGACCAAGTGGCCAGAGCAGTTTTTAAAAGTGAGAAGTATGCTATCTCAGAAGTTAGGGTAAAAAGAAATTCCTAGTCCACAAAGTGAATTGTTGCAAATATCACGGAAGATGAAGGTTTCACATGTAGAGGTCATTGATGATTTAAGAGTAGTTTATAGACAAGTCAGATTGCAGTGGGTTGGATAGTGAGTAGGAGATGAGGAAGCAGAAGCAAGGGTATAGGTTAAGGACTTTGCTGGTTAGGGAACTAGATCCCACGTGCTGCAACTGAAGATCCCACATACTGTAACTAAGACCTGGCACAGCCAAATAAATATTTTTTTAAAAAAGAAATTCTCTCTTAACAAAAAAGCGGGGGGGGGGGGGAGCGGGGTATAAACTACTTTCCCCAAAGTTTTGCAAAGTAGAGGAAATAATAATGCTGTATACATAAGTAAGGAATTTTATTAGTTATTATTATCAATTACTTAATAACTCCTTGCTCCCATATTACTTGAATGTCACACTTCCATCATTTCTCTGGTTACCACTACCTCTATTGCACCAGTGTCTCTCCCCAAATCTAACACTACCTGAAAGCACAGAATATTGGTTATTTGGGTTGTGGATGACTTGTTTTACTTGGATGAGTGTTCTGAATGCCTCAGATTCTGTCTTTGAAAAATGGGCCATAGACCACCTCCGTTGCCCCAACTCCATCATCTGTTTTCCACAAATACAAATAAGCATTCACTTCCCGGACCAATTCAGCAAAATACGGGAGTTCTTTGGTTCTTGGCAAGCCTAGTACCCTGTCTACCTAGGCTCCTCCCCTTCCTTTCCCCAAACTCTTCGTGGGCAGATCTCAGAGAAGAATGAGCTGCCACTCTAAATCTTCTGGAATATAATGTCCCAGATGGAGAGTCTGCACAGTTCTGCAGTGAGCTGAATCAGTCTAGCCTTTTTCCAGCGAGGGCTGGAGATAATCAACACCGCCGCCGTCCACCTGTGCACAGGAAGATGCCTACAGCCACTCCAGTGACGATGAAACAGCCCACCAGGACGCCCAGGACCAGTGAAGTGTAGGAACGGCCTGTTTGGCTTCCTGCTGAACGTGGGAAGAGTTAGCTTGAAGAACATACCCCCCAAACAAATAAGTCCCTGGTTTGAGTCAAACCCCAAAGGATTTCTTCCCCAAAGGAAGTAGGGGAGGGGCTAGTTTACCAATTCACATAAGATGTGTGTACTCAGTCCCAAATCGCCAGCCCTGGGCCTCCTGTTGCTCAAGATACCCATCTTTCAGTTCCACCCATTTGCCTGGAACCCACCCAACACATAGGTCCCTCCCTGAGCCCATCATACCTTTCAAGTTGTTCACGGTCATGTGTTTCTGTATGTATTGCACACAGGTGTCCTGTAGAAATTCCCGCAGTTCGTACCGAGTACGATTGTACTTGTTGAGCTGCTCAACCGTGTAAGTGACCACTCTGGACGGTACATGAGTTTCCGCCACCCATGAGGCTGTCTTTGGCTGGAAATTTACAAAGGAGCTTCCATTCACAGCCACTTCGAAGAAGACACGGGCTTCCGAGCCCTCAGGCGGCAACTCGCAGCCCAGGAAGCAGCGAATGATCAGAGGAACTGTAGGTAGGGGATTCAGGATCAGGGGACAGTGTGGAAAAGGTGTCAGGTGTGAGGGGGAAACGGGAGTTCAGGATGCAAGGTGGACCAGGGACAGGGACTCCCAACAGGGACTACCCCGAAGTCTTGCCAAGCAGGAAAAGGGCCTGACGGACAGTACGGTACGTCAGCTAGGATACCGACTTTTCTCCGGCCTCAAGCACCCACCCAGCCATCAGCAAAGGCAACGCCGGGAGGGAACACCCATCCCAGAACTCGGCCCCGCCTCGTTCTTTCATAAGCCCGCCCCCTCGTTACGGCCCGCCCACTGGCCACGCCTCCCACCTCAAGGGCCCGCCCCCGTGTGTGTCACTCACAGGTCACGCCCCGCTCCTGGTGCACCACCTGCACCAGGCCCACGAACTCTTCCAGGTAGCGATTCAGGTATCTCTTCGTGAGGGCCCAGCTGTCGGGCTCCTGCAAGGGCTGCAGCTGTTGGATCGAGACGTTGTGGCCTGGGCCTTCCAGCACGTGCGTCAGGACCCCGCCCAGCGTCGCGTTGCCCCGGTGCCACACTTGAGAGGGGTTGCGGAAGTAGGAGACCTGGATCATGTGGAGGTCCGACGGGCCTGGGGGCGGGAGCAGGAGCGTCGGGTCCCGGCCGGCGTGGGAGGGTCAGCGTGCAACTCGAGATAATAACCCCCCACCCAGAGGTCAGCCGCCCACCTCCTCGGTCCTTTATAAACATAAATTGTCCTCCCACCCTTCCACCCATTTGACGCTGTCAGTAACCCTGTCAGGAGGGCAGGACGGGGGTTATTATCTTTGTTTTACAGATGAGGAAACTGAGGCTAGACGTGCAGAAGCCACTTGCTCCAGGACAATCCAGACGAGTGGAAGAGCCACTCTGACCTCCTTTCAAGCTCTCACCCCTTCCTCCCCTCCACCGCCCCCCGCCCCGCCCCGTCATTTCCAGTTGGTTATTAAATCCTGGTGGCTCAGACACCTGCAATGAGGGAGACCTGGCTTCAATCCCTGGGTACGGAAGATCCCCTGGAGAAGGAAATGGCAACTCACTCCAGTATTCTTGCCTGGGAATTCCCATGGACAGAGGAGCCTGGTGGGCCACAGTCCATGGGGTCGCAAAGAAATCGGACACGACTGAGGAACTAACACATTTTCACATGAAGACCCAATTTCATCTCCTGTTCTCTGCCTCTTCTGCTGCTGTCCTACTTCAGGCCTTAGTCGTTCTCATCTGGACTGGAGTAGTGATTTCCTGGTCCCCTCCACTCATCTTTTAGTCTCACCCCTTTTTATCTGACCTCCACCTGGCCCAGAAATAAGATTACATCCTTCTGCTTAAAATTTTCCAGGGACACACTCCTCTATCAACAGCAACAACAATAATAGCTATTAAGTGCTTATTATGACCTGGGCACTATACTTTACATGCACTATTATCTTATTTGTGCCTTCCTCCCATTAAATTGATGTAGTAGCTACTATTATTAACCCCATCCATATGGAAAAACAGACAAGTGGCATAGGAGAGTTAAGGTTAGCATGCAGGCTGTCTGAATCCAGCACTCTTAGCCACTCAACTACACTGTCTTCCCATAAGCTATCTGTCTGTAGAATCAATCCAACGTCTTTAGCCTGACATTCAAAGCTTCCCGAAGGCTGGTTCCCTCCTCCCGCCCCCCCCCCACCCCAGCTCTTTTGATCTCTTCCCTATGCTTAGATAGTACATCAGTACTTGGAGTCCATCATGCTGCCTTTCGGCCGACATGTGAATAGCATGGCAGGGTTGCTTTGCCTCTTGGCGAACTTCTATTTATGCTTTAAGGCCCAGCTCTATTGCCCTCTTCTTGGAGAAGTTTTCCTAATGCTTCTCCTCTTTACCCTCTCATACACAATGGGTCAATTCCAGCGATCCCAGATTCTGCTTAACTGTCTTCAAACACACAGACTTCCATCCCTCTTGGCGCTGGAATCATGTCTGGTTATCTCTACCTCCTGCACCTGCCAAGGGCCTGGCATGGAATTGGTGCCCAGAGAATGTTTGAGGAGGGAATGAGTCCAGGGTTGTAAACCTGTGTGTGGGGGTGTGTCTCTGTCCATGTCTGCATCTGAGAAGTTGTGCTCTGTATCTGTAGATGTGAATAAGTATATCTGTGTCGGTCACCCTCAGACAAGGTTCTTACCTGCTTGGTGACCAGTCTCCTTTGTAAAATGGAGATAATAGTATTACCCACCTTGTAAAGATTTTGTTGAGGTTAAATAAGTCAATACACGTATTAAGTGTAGTGAGCATTCATTGAATACTGGTTATTTGCTGCTGTCTCTCTGGGGCAGGGAGAGGGGGAGACTGAAGCTACCGGGACTGCAGGAGAGGAGAGAGGAGGCCCTTGTGCAATCATAATGCAGGGCAGAAACTCCCCTTCTCTGCTTAAATGGAGCCACTGCGACAGCCTGATCCCCATTGAGTTTTCCCACTGACTACAGCTTGTCTCTCCCCTGAGTTTCCCCTCACCATCGTCTCTAGTCTCCTCTTTTTGCCTCACAGTTCTCAGATCTAGTCTCTCCCCAAAACTCCCATCACTTCTCCCAGTGTCTCTCATTCCTTCCATCTCCCGTCTCATCTCTTTTCCCGTCTTCCCTAAACTCACCTCCATCCACCATCACCCTCAGACCTCTCCTTCTCCAGACTTCACACACCCATCTCTCCCCTCTCCCTGTGGCTAATTCTCTCACCCTTTCTACCAGCCCCTTTCCCATTTGTCCAGTCTTGTTTCCCCCTAGGCCCCCGCCCCCTCCCATCTCCCCCTTCCCAGGAGCTGAACTCTAACTTCCTCACCTTGGCTTTGGGACACAAACCAGTCCCCAGGATCGCCTGCCCTCTGGAGAGATCCAGCTGGCCGCAGGCCCAAAACCTGGGGGATAAACTTTCCTCTGGTCTTGCCCGGGTACCCAGACAGGCTGAGAGCCGCTGGAACCATCCCAGGACAGGACATGTGCCCTCGACTCACCATCTGAGGCTTCCTGGCTGCAGAGGGTCCATCCGGGCAGGAGCAGTAGTGGCAGCAGGGGCAGCAGGGTTGTCAACATTCTGTAGCTGAGGTTCTCAACCCCACCTGGGCTCGTGGCTCTGGCAGACTGGGGGCTCCGGCTGGCTGCTGCCTAGGGGCAAAAGAAATGAGGACTGTCTGGGAGGGGAGGAGGCTGTCCGGAGGTGGCTGGAAGGTGGCCAGGGCTTGGGAGGAGAAAGAGGGAGGCAGGCTTATAAAGTGTTATTCTTACCCTGTCTCATTTCCTACTAGGGGGCCGGCCTCCCTCTTCCCCTCCCTCCGCCCTGCCCGGAATCACACCCTCCTGCCCAGACCTGCCTTTTCCCTTTTCCCTGGGCTGCTTCCGAGGAACAGTCAGCGGAAAGGGGGGAGAAGGGCCAGAGAGAAGTCCTGCCCTCGCTGAGTCAGGGGGTGGGGCATCCACTTAGAGCAGATTTTATGATGTTGAGATCAGCATGTTTCTGGTGGGGAAACTGAGGCCCAGAGAGATGTAAGGAATTACCCAAAGTGTATACATCATGGTGATGACAGAGCCAGGATTAGAATTCAGTTTTCCGATATATTGACTGCATTTTATTGAAATTTTAAATAAATAGTAATTATACAGTCAGGGATCTTGTTCTCAGAAATAGCCACAAAATGAAGATAAAGCTGCTTCATACAGCATTGTTTGAAACAGGGGAGGATTATAAATAATCTACTTCTCAGTAGAGAACTGGTTCCTTGCAGTAATATTTTTCAAAATGAAGTCAAAAACTATTAGGGACTATTAGCAGCGGGCTGCTGCTGCTCCTGCTGCTGCTAAGTCACTTCAGTCGTGTCCGACTCTTCACGACCCCATAGATGGCAGCCCACCAGGCTCCCCCGGCCCTGGGATTTTCCAGGCAAGAACACTGGAGTGGGTTGCCATTTCCTTCTCCAATGCATGAAAGTGAAAAGTGAAAGTGAAGTCGCTCAGTTGTGTCTGACTCTTCGAGACCCCATGGACCGCAGCCTACCAGGCTCCTCCGTCCATGGGATTTTCCGGGCAGGAGTACTGGAGTGGGGTGCCCTTGCCTTCTCTGATTAGTGGGCAATGAAGACAATTAGGCAAGTTATGATTAGCAGGGTTTTTCCTTTGAATGTAATAGAACAGTATAAAAATTTTCAGTGCATCACCCTTAATCAGGATAAATATTATTTCATGAAATATTTGTTCAACTGTACATGTGTGTGTGTATTGATTTTGTGCATGTAGGTTTCTATGATGGATATTAAGTAGCAGTGTAAAGTGTATTTCTTACTCTAGGAAGCAAATACAGTAAGTCCCCTATACACAAATGTGTTCTGTTTCGAGAGCGTGTTCATATAAGTCCAACAAAGTTAGCCTGGGTACCCACTAACACAATTGGCTATATAGTACCGTATTGTAATAAGTTTATAATACTTTTCAGACAAATAAAACAAACAAACAAACAAAAATTTTTAATCTTCCAGTACAGTTCCTTGAAAAGTGCAGTAGTATAATACAACAGCTGGCATACAGGGACTGGCATGCATGTTCGAATCTTTGAACATTTGCAACTTGAAGGTTCATATGTAGGGAACTTACTACCAATGCCCACTCTATTTTCATCATATTACTTAGCACTACCTGAAATTATATTACCTACTCATTTACATTTATTGTCTGAATGTCCCATCAAAATGTAAACTCCATGAGGATAGAGGCTGTCCATCTTATTTGCTTCTATACCTAGAACAGTGCAAATAATAGCATAATAAATAATAAATATCAGCTAGTGGATGACAGAATGAGATAGTTATAATATGTCAAAATCATCAAGAGTAAGTTATGGAACATTATGTACAGTTTAGAACCACTTACATGTCAACCACATTCATAGCAACTAAACAACCTATTTCTTTGTGGGAGTGAATGAATCTGAAAGGATATACATCAAATACAGCAGTGGTTTATCTCCAGGGAGGGGCCTGAGATTAAGAGAGAGTATGTGTGTGGTGTGTGTGTTAGGGATGGCAATTTTGTGAAAGGTTTTCTCTATTTTGTGAAGGATTTTATCATTCTATCTGTATTGTTTGAAAATTTTGCATCTTGAATGTGATCATGTATCTCTTGTTGAATTAAAAATAGAAGTTTCAGGAACAAACTGTGGTAGAAGAAGGTGGCAAATGATTATGAGCTGATGTGTTGACATGAGATGCTGAGAAATGAAAAAGGAAAGTGTGGAACAATACATACAATATTGCTGTTCTGTACTCAGTCGCTCAGTCGTGTCTGACTCTGCGACCCCATGGACTGTAGCCCACCAGGCTCCTGGGTCCATGGGGATTCTCCAGGCAAGAATACTGGAGTGGGTTGCCATGCCCTCCTCTAGGGGATCTTCCCAACCCAAGGATGGAACCCACGTCTCCCACATATAGTATTGGGTTGACCAAAAAGTTCATTCAAATTTTTCTGTAAGATATTACAGAAAAACCCCAACAAACTTTTTGGCCAACCCAATAAAATTCTGTTTATTTTTACTTTAAAAATTTTACTTCTGTTCATGTAATCCATATATAATTCCATTATTATATTAAAAGAAACTTTATGTGTGTACCTATGTATTAGTATATGCATAGAAAAAAAATGCCTGCAAGGGGATTATCAGTAGAGAGTACCTCTGGGAAATGAGATTAGATAGAGGGCTGATGGGGGGATTTTAACTTTTTATTTTACATACTGTTTCTCAGAGGGAGAGTTGATGTCATAGAATTGGGGGCAAACCTTGGGTACATACCAGGCTCCCAGTCTCTGAGCTGAAAATATGCAGGAGTCCATACTCACCTCTCAGTTGTTATAAAACAACATAGAAATAACAAAGTTTTTTCCAGCTCATCAAAACAATCTAGTCTGAAGGAGAAGATGGGCCTTGTTTTCCTGAACTGGGGCTCAGGAAAAGCAGAATTTAAGTCGCTGCCAATTATATTGTCTCATCTTTTATACAAAATTCGGATCAGTTCAGTTCAGTTGCTCAGTCGTGTCCAACTCTTTGTGACCCCATGGACTGCAGCACGCCAGACTTCCCTGTCCATCACCAACTCCCGGAGCTTACTCAAACTCGTGTCCATCGAGTCGGTGATGCCATCCAACCATCTCATCCTCTGTTGTCCCCTTCTCCTCCCACCTTCAATCCTTCCCAGCATTAGGGTTTTTTCTAGTGAGTCAGTTCTTCACATCAGGTGGCCAAAGTATTGGAGTTACAGCTTCAGTATCAGTCCTTCCAATGACTATTCAGGACTGATTTCCTTTAGGATTGACTGGTTTGATTTCCTTGCTGTCCACAGGACTCTCAAGAGTCTTCTCCAACGCCACAGTTCAAAAGCATCAATTCTTCAGTGCTCAGCTTTCTTTATAGTCCAACTCTCACATCCATACATGACTATTGGAAAAACCAAAGCTTTGACTAGATGGACCTTTGCTGACAAAGTAATGTCTCTGCTTTTTAATATGCTGTCTAGGTTGGCCATAACTTTCCTTCCAAGGAGCAAGGGTCTTTCAATTTCATGGCTGCAGTCACCATCTGCAGTGATTTTGGAGCTCCCAAAAATAAAGTCTGTCACTGTTTCCACTGTTGCCCCATCTATTTGCCATGAAGTGATGGGACCGGATGCCATGATCTTAGTTTTCTGCATGTTGAGTTTTAAGACAACTTTTTCACTCTCCTCTTTCACTTTCATCAAGAGACTCTTTAGTTCTTTGCTTTCTGCCATAACGTTGGTGTCATCTGCATATCTGAAGTTATTGATATTTCTCCCGGCAATCTTGATTTCAGCTTGTGCTTCATCCAACCCAGCGTTGCTCATGTTGTACTCTGCCTATAAGTACTCTGCATATAAATTTATACAAAATTAGTATGAAATAATTCATACTTGAAGAATTCTCTCTTGAAGAATTTTTATCACATATACACACAAGCCCCCAGCACTCAGCGTAAGAAGTAAAACATTACCAGTGTAATTGAAGCCCCTTCTATACTCCTCCCTAATTGCATCTCTCTCCCCCATGACCCACCAGCAAAGTAACCACTAATCAGAATTTGTTATTTTTTACAGTCTTACACTTCTGTATTCCTGTATGGCATATGCATTTACTCTTGAGTAATATATGGTAGTATTCTGCAGAAGTTGGGCTTTATTGGTATTGAAGTGCTTATATTCCTCTGCAATTTGCTCTTTTTCACCTGACATATTAATAAGGTTCATTCATGCTGCCATGTGTTGGTCTTTTCATTTCCACTGCTTTATGACATACTATGTTTATGAACATATCACAATTTATCCATTTTCCTGTTATTACACATTTCAGTCTTTTTTTTTTTAAACTTTTTGCTATTTTAAACAGCATGAATGTTCTTCTTTTTTTTTTTTTAAGCATGAATGTTCTTATAAACATTTTCTTGTGCATGTGTGGGAGAGCTTTTGTAGATATAAACTTGGGAGTGGAATTGCTGAGTCACAGGGTATATGCAGATCTTCAATTTGACTAGATATTGCCAAACTGCTTTACAAAAAGTTTGGACCAGGTTATACCCTAGTAGTGCATGAGAGTTCCCTCATCCATCTTCTGGCCAGCTATAGACATCGTCAGATGTTGGGTGTCAAATGGCACTTGGTTTCGGTTTTCCTTTGCTTTATCTGGTTCCAAGTGAGTTTGTGCATTTTTGCTTTGCCTTTTGTCTCTCTTGGGGACTTGAAGGGTACTTTGGGATGAAGAGTAATAAAGTATATGATGGAACCAATTTGGAATTGAAGGCTGTGAGTCTTTGATCTAAGTAGATAGGGCCTGGGTTACTGGGATTATTAAAGTGGATCCATACCAGGACTCCCCTGGTGGTCCAGTGGTTAAGACTCCATGCTTACAAGGCAGGGGATGTGGGTTTGATTCCTGGTCAGGGAACTAACATCCCACATGCCACGTGGCCAAAACCATAAATTAAAAAATAAATAAAAATTTTAAAAAGTGGATCCACTCCAATACACACAGAGCTAGTTACAGAGAGGTCTTTCCCACCAAGCTAAGATCTGTCATGGATACAGTGATAACAGCAACAGCTGTTTCCCAAGCACCCTCTTCACACACCGGTGCCCTGAAAATTAAGTAGCAGAGATAGCAATTATTATAGGTAACATTTATCATGGCTAGGAACAGTTTTAAGATTTTTACACAGATAATCTCACATTATTCATATGTCAGC